TGGTTGATTTAAAAAATTAGGCTTCTGCTTTTAGTTTAGCTGGGGATAATATAGGTTTGTAGTTAATACAATTGCAAAGCATCTCCTAATTTCTTGACATGCTACTTGGATTAAAATGTCAAGAAAATGCTTTAAAAATGGTAACCAGAGGGCTTAGGGCTGGACTGGCCATATTAATGAGAAGAAGTTGGCAGGAGGTACCATAATATTAACTTTATCAACGTTATATCTCTATATCCTGTAAGACTCACTGATAGAAAGTTAAGGCTTTGTTCCCACTGTAGCTACATTATTTCGCTAAACACAAGACTCATTTGGTGAAAAAATTCTTACCAATCAGCTTGACTAAAATGGTAGCCAGGTTAGACAAAACAGTAACTTTAATAGTATTTTATAAAGTTACAATTTAAATCAGTTTTCAATTTCATGTTTTATTCAAAATGCAGATACTTGGACCCTACCTCGACCTTGACCCAGTGAACCAGAATTTCTTAAAGGAGTTTCTCAGAACTTATATGCATAATAAGGTTTGAGAACCTCTGGCTGAGACCCTGTAATAATATTTGAGCACAAATCGGCATTGTGTAGGAAAGCAGAGGAAAGTTTTGGATTAATGTTGGAAGCCTAGATGTTTGTCTGGGTTCTGCGTCTTACTGGTGGTTTGATTTTTATAGTCATTGAGCCTCCCTGAGCATTTAGTTTTTCATGTTTACCCATCAGGGTTGTTGTAGGAAGCCACGGTGATAGTGCACACAAAAAACCTTTTTAATCTGTAGGCAGTGATAAAAATGTAAGATAGCATTATTATGATGGTTATGGTTAATACAAACTCTTTAAATAATAATCCAACTGGTCTAATAGAGTTGTTTCTTTTCCCATATAATGTTAACCATTAAAGGACATAATCTAGGTATCACAACAGAAAATGCATTATGGAATACAACCAGGGTGGGAAACCAAGCAGCGAAGGCAGGTGGGCATGGCCAGCATCTCAGGTCTGAACTGATCTGAATTGATCTGAGCAAATGGGGGAAGTGCTCTGAAGCAAGGTGGGGTCCAGTAACAACTGTTGGGTGGTACACCTACAGAGAGATTAAATTGCACGGAAAGCAGATGGAAAACTTACGTCTAAGTCTACCCAATAAAAATCTAGAAGCCATAAAGACAATGAGCGGAACATAAATCAGGCATGGAGTCCTACAGCTGGAGCAGGAGGCTGAGCCCTGGAATGCACAAAAGGACATGAGGACATCTTTTATTTTATTTTTTTATACTTAGGGCAAGACCTCTTTAGGGCACCGAATCCAATTCTTGGCCGGCTCATCAATAGCACTTGTTAAAAATAAAATTAGAAGACAAGCACAAATGTAACAATTTTTTTTTTTTTGGAAAGTAGAACTTTTGATCAGAGGACTAGAGAAAAGAAAACAAAGAACCCCTCCCGTGAATATTTTCCAGTTACTGAAGGGTGAGCCTGGAATAACGTCAGAGTGTTACGCAAGCATTGAGGTTGTCCATCAGTTGCATAAGAAAGGGGTCATTCTTACCGCCCTCCGTAATCTCCTGAAATATCATAAGCCCTCTGATCATTCATTCATTCAACAGATATTTTTGGAGTACTTTTTTAATGTGTCAGACACTGTTTTAGATAGCTGCTGGAGAAAGAAGAAGGAGCAAGGCAGATAAGGTTCATGCCCTCAGGAAGCTATGCCTGTCCCCCAGTGCAGCATGCACCTAATGTAGATAGTTGGCCAAAGAGGCCACAGTGATTTCCATCCCTATATCCACACCCCTTTGCAATGTAACTGCAGCTCCTACCATCAAGAGGTAAGGTCTGTTTTGCCACCCCTTGAACCTAGGGCCTGGGACCACCATGAGGACAGCAGGGCTAACGTGCTGGAGGATGAGGATCCATGCGGAGCTTGCCACTCTTGCAGGGCTCATCCCAGCTCAGCTAGCTGATGGCAGTTCTGCCAGTGGCAACTGCCCCTCGGGTGAGCCTGGCTAAGGCCGGAAGAACATTCTAGCCCAGCCCAGCTCAAACTACTGATCTACTGAAGCTCAAACTACGTAAATGGTTGCGTTAAGCCACTATGTCTTGGAATGATTTGTTATGTAGCAAAAGCTGACCAAATAGCCCTTAACTATGTAAATATGAGGCAAAGTTTATTTGGGGCACAGAATTTTCTCATACGGCTTATCAAATTACCTTGATAACTGCCAACTCTTCATTTTGCGCTGTAGGGACATGGTCTCAGTGTACAGTTGTCAGAATACAGACACCCTGGGAAGGTTTGATATTGGATCTCTGATCTGCAGAATATGAAGTTGACTAATGCGCTTGAAACATGACATATAGAGGATAATCTATTTCTTGGAGAAAATACAAATATATAGGAGGGACATAAACATCTACAACAGTACTAACTCCGAACAAGCAGTCAAAAAGTTCATGCAAATCCAGTTAGCTTTGCTTTGCAACATAATGGCTCATGGTGTCAAAACAAAAACATGAATGAACAAACAAAAAACCCAAAAACCTGCCAGTCAGATTCTGAATTTGTCTGACTAACCAACTATGTCCTATAGCCACGGCCATAAAGTGTCTGATCTTTCCTTCAAATAATTTCATGATTTTGATATCTCATTGAAACTCTCACCAAAGGCTTCTGTATCGTTCCAGATGTCTGTGTGTAACCGCCTTGATTCTAACAATGACACATCAGTGGAGATGAGTGAAAGAGATCTTTGATTTATCTTAATTTTCAAATATGTCAGAGTGTCTTTTCCTCTTTTCCTGTCAGCCGCTCTTCTCTGTCCAGCCCTCCCAGCTGGGCATTTTGGGAAAGCAGCCAATTCCAGGGCTAATGTGTTTCTGCTGTTATCTGATCCTGATGCTGCTTCATAGAGACAGCAATGAAGATAAGCCCTAAGTGGATGTATTTTTAAAGCAAACCTTTTAGTTACTTAGAACAGAGCTTCCTCAATTAGCTTCCTTTCTCTTCTCTCTGGCTGTGCAGGAACCACACTAATGTGAAAATGCTGGATCTGGACGGGAGTCAAGAGCGGGGTCGGGGCAACTGAAGGACAATCATACTGAACTCAGGAGAAAGGCTGCACCAGACAGGCTGGGAGCTGTGTCTCCAGGAGAGCAGGTGGGGGAAGGACACTGAGAGAATCAGACGTGACAAGAGGCCCCCGCAGTGGTCCAGGGTAAAGCTACCCACAGCTGCATCCCAGCGTGCCTGCAAGAGAGGGAAGGTGGGGCAGGCCCCAACTGAGCAAGAATCAATACTTTATAGAGGGTTCCATCCCTGTGCTCCAATGGAAGTACTTTGTTCCAAGGCAAAATGTGTTAACCTTGGTTTAGGATTGAGAGTTTTAAATTGCATTCTGCAATATATTATCCTCAGGTCAGAGAAAATCTTCTGAATCCCTACCCTCTTTAAGTTACTCACAAGCTTTTGATAGCTGCTGAGAGGGAGAGCTGCTTAGTAGAAGAAGCAGGTTTAGAGAAGTCTTGATGTGGAAAAAATATAAAGAAAAGAAGCAGAGTGGAAAAACATTTCTTCTGTCTATTACTCAGTCTGAAATGGGATTAGAAGTGACACAAAATAAAGTAGTAATTTCCCTTCGGTTGGCAGTCGGTTGGCCATCATTAGTTTATACTGCCTAAAGGGCCTAAATTCCAGTGTTCCTTTTAGCATTATTTAATAGCAGAGGTGTGAGGATTAGCGCCCCCTATGGCAGACCATGTGGGCCTCCTTAAGCTAGGCCTGTTGTCAGTAGGAAAGGGTAAACCTGGGTGGGGCTGCGCTGGGGGCTGGTAGTGGGCGTGGGGGAGACAGAGTGGGGCCTGGGGAAAAGAAAATGGGGATGAGGCAGCCGCTCTGTACTGTAAGGATCTTCATCTGCCTTCTCAATTAGACTTCCAGTCGTTTTTATGGAGGCATCTGTTCTCAGAGTCCTGGCCTCTGACCAGGTTCTGACTCAAGGATTTACTTCACTGGAAGCTCAAATTTGAGTTCTGTGTTATAAAATTACGGAGGCTTTTTTGGATTTTTGGATGCTGACACTATTATTTGAAAGTTTACTTATTTAAATTAATATTAAGAGTTAAGTGATATGTTTGGTTTACCTTCTATCAGATACCAAATTTTGCACACCATTGGCTTATCAAGATCATATTAACTTAGAGACAAATTTTTCTCTTTTCTGATTCTCCTGTGATTATAATACTGTGTATAAATCTTACCTCTCCCATGCAGGCTGCCCTTTGTACTCTGCACATAGGAATATATCTTCCAAAAAATAGTCACTCCTCACCCTATTAATGGGTATAATGACTATTAAAAAGTAAGTTAGTTCTAATAATTAAGTAATATGTTTGATGTTTCCTCTAGAGTTCAGGTATAAAGATTGACAAATCAATGGCTGAACAAGTTAGGACTGGCTGTTTTGTTTGTTTGTTTGTTTGTTTTTGGGTTTTTTTTTTTTTTTTTGGTCTTTTCTCCTTTGCTGTGACACTGATTTGCTGGGAACATCTGGCACCCATCACTACAGTGAGTGAAGTGATGACCTTTTCTGTTTAACCACAGAACCAGAACAGGACTGACTTGCAATGATACGCATGAAACATAAACATTGGGGAAAATGAGAAGAATTCTAGAACAGCATCACTTCCACAATGTGCTAACATCATTAATTTTGCATAGAAGCAACAGCTGTGAAGATACTGCTTTTTAGCAGCTTTATGAATTTCTAGTTGGTGTATCTCTAAATAAATACATACAAATACATAAAGCTGTTTATAAAATGTAAAGTACCTCTCTGTCACAATGACCATAATTTGCTGTTCTCCTCCCTCTGTCCTCACAGGGGGAGAACCTTCATCCCTTAGTTACTGATTCACTTCTAATGGATTAAAACTTGGATTGGTACAAACTCTATAATTTTTATGTCATCCCCAGTAGGTGTACCCAATTCTAGAAGCTGCATACCTGATGGTTAGTCCTATCCACTGTATTGGCCGTGGAGGGGTGGTCTCTAGTGTTCTGACGGACTCGAGTGGAGTTTTGTTGCTCGATGGTGGAGGAAGTTGGGATACAGAACTCTCTGAAGCATCGTTTGAAGTTTTCATCCAGAAATGCGTAAAGGACAGGATTTAGGCAGCTGTTTGTGTAACCTAGAGCAATGCAGAAGTGCCAGGAAACGGTCTGGAATGTAGTTTCTGGGATTGTAATCAAGGCTTTAATGATGACATAAATGTGAATGGGAGTCCAGCAAACAATGAACACAGCCACAACCACCAACACCATCCTGGTGATTCTTCGCAGATTCCTGTCCTTTTCTTTGGAGCCAGAGAGCATACGGACACTCTTGAGGCGTAAGATCATCAGTCCATAACACACTGTAATGATGAGGACAGGCATGATGAAGGCAAAGATGAAAACACAAATTTTCAGCAGGTTTTCCCAGTACCAGGTTGGGTGAGAGAATGTGAGTGTACAATCTATGGAACCTGGAAAACAATAATTATAAGGAAGAATTAGCAGCAACATCTAATTATAGCTTTGACCAGAGCTAACTTAAATCCATTAAGGGAAGCCAATAGGGGAAGATTTAAAGAAATTGAGGGAGAAACTCAGCTCTCTGTTGATTTTTAGGGAGAGTTATTTTTAGATTTTTTTTCTAAGTATCTCCTTTTTTGGTCCATTTTGATCACATTAAGCTTTCATTCAGTCAACAATTGTGGAACCTTTTGTAAGCTAAATCCTCTATGGGGTCTATGTTGACATAAAAAATACAATCACTGTCCAAAATCTGTAGGAGGTTCCAGCTAATGGATATTTTCATTCCATTTTTGATGGGTGGTTCATCATTCTGATATGAGGACTAGAAAAATAAATTTGTCATGTTAGCAGCCATTTGAAATTTTAAAACAACTTAATGTTTTTTGGGGTTTAAGTCTAATCATTCTTGTAAGAGCTATAGTCTTAGTTTGCCCTCATTTTGATGAAGTCAATGCAGAGAAATCAGGAAACAATAGATGATAGTCTCTTTAAGATGTTTAGTGTGCTTAAAATTTAGGGGAGAATTCATATTACAAAAGATTCAAAGGCATTCTGTTAGAAAAAAATCACTGATATTACAATTTGACTAAGAAGTTGGACCACTCATGACTTCACCAGCATGTCAGTCTATAAACCCTTCATCCCTCAGGTCTGCAACTTACCATGCCTGTACTTTGTTGTTGCCATGAACATTACAGGCAAACCAATGGCTGAAGAGAGGATCCAGTTGCAGACATTGACAATTTTGGCATTGCGGGGAGTACGGAAATCCAGGGCCTTGACGGGATGGCAGACTGCGATGTAACGATCGACACTCATGGTACAGAGGGTAAAGATGCTGGTGAACATATTATAGTAATCTATGGAGATCACGATCTTGCAGAGGATGGTTCCAAATGGCCATGTGCCCATTAGGTAATTGACACTCTGGAAGGGCAGGGTACTGGTTGCTAAGGCATCTGCTAGAGCAAGGTTGAAAATGTAGATGTTGGTGGCAGTCTTCATTTTGGTGTATCTAGGAGGTGAAAGAGGAGTGGTGGCAAAGTCAGAAAAAGACCAATATGAAATGTAGATAAGCTTCTGATAATAAAAAATATTGCAAGGGTTAGTGGAAAGCACTTGAGATTAGATATGGAAGAACTTTTTTCTGATACTAGATTGGCTATTCATAACCATGTGTCTATGAACTAAATACGGTTTCTCTACTTATCAGTTTTATAATCTGTAAGATGGCCTTAATATCAGCTGCCATACTGATTTATTAAGTTTCTTTAAGGTGCCAGGCACTGTGATAGATGTAATAGACACAGGGAGTGCTCAGTCATATATCCAAGTCTACTGATATTCATGAAATGAATATAGAATGAATGATAATTCATTTTAACTCTACATATGTAAAAGAAAAATTTCAGATATATATAGTTAAAAGTATGGAAAAGTGTAATCATGCAAGAATGTGTATGTATATATATCTCAATGTAATAGTGCAAGTGTGTTTATATGTACATATAAATATATATCTGTGTATACACACACACACACAGATTATAATGGTGGCACAAGAAGAAATGAAGGAGTAAGATAAGGGAAGAAGAAAGGTATCTTGGAATTGTAAATGTGCAAGTTGAATCTTACACTGGTAAGGGTAGGTTATTCTAGATAGAACACCTAAATAAAGGCATAGAGTTGAAATAGCATGATGTGTGTGTTTTGGCACTGCCAAAAGGTAAAATCCCACCAGAAAATGGCAATAAATCTGATTGGGTAGGAATACAGAGGCCAGTTCATGGAGGGATTTGTATGCCATGGTAAGAAGCATGAACTTTATCCAATCCATGATGAGGAAGCTAATGCTGTTTGTTTTGTTTTTATTTTTTAATAGCTTTATTGAGGCATAATTGACATACAATAAATGGCATGTAATTAAAGTGTACAATCTGATAAGTCTTGACATATGTACACACTTGCAAAACAATTATCTTAATCAAGATCAGGAATTGGCAAACTGCAGCCTGCAGACTGGGTTGGGCTGCTGCCTGTTTGGTTGGAACACACTCACATTCATTTAATTACTTCTTATCTATAGCTGTTTTGATGATGCAGTGGCAGAGTTGAGTAGTTGTGACAGAGACCATATGGCCTGCAATGCCTAAAATATTTACTATCTTGTCCTTTACAGCAAAAAATGCCAATTCTTGATCAAGATAATGAACATATCCATCACCCTCAGAAATTTCCTTGTGAAGCTCCTAAATCTTTCCATCTTCCCTTCCCTGACTTGACCCCCCACTCATAGGCAATCACTGATCTTGATCTGCTTTCTGTCACGATAGGTTAGTTTTCATTTCTAAAATTTTATGTAAATAGAATCATTCAGTATGTACTCTTTTTTTTGTCTAGCTTCTTTCGCTCTGCATAATATTTTGAGATTCATCCACATCTTGTTGCATGTATCAATAATGCATTCTTTTTTATTACTAAGTATGCATATTATTATTATTACTGAGTATAGATATGATTGTGTGGTTATAGATAAACAAGCCAGACTTGTTTATCCATTCACCTATTAATGGGAATTGAGTTGCATCTCCTTTTTGGATACTGAAAGTTAGCTGTTATGAACATTAATTAAGTCTTTGCCTGGAAATATGTTTTTCTTTCCCCTGTCTAAGTATCTAGGAGTGTTAAATGTTCTCAAAGCCACAGAAATTAGAACTTAGAAGAGATGAGCAGGTACAATGACAACACTAATAAATTATATATGATGGTAGAGGAGTACCTTGCTAATGTGTTGTCCAGTTGTCAGATGTATCTGACATTGCACATCTGTTTACCTTAATGTTAGGAACAGTACTCAATTTCACTTGGGAAACAACGCCTTTTCCATGTTTAGTCTGTAGGCTTTGTAGTGGGCTCTGTTACTAGTTCAGTGCATCAAGATGTAAAGTGACTGGGGCCATGGGGAATGTTCAGAGCTGGTCTCGTGTTTCAACCAGAGCCAATAAAATTTTCGGGAGACTTCTGAAGAAAGAGTATACTATTTTTAGATAATTAAACCTGAGAGAATGTAAGGTTGTTGGAAGAGCCTGTCTGAAAGTGGATCCCATACAGAGGATGTGGATTTGAGAGAGCAAGAGAGGAATATCTACCTGAAGCCTTGGACTTTTTTGTTTACATGGTACAATCATTCTCTCTCTTTTTTTTAAAGATTTTATTTATTTATTTGACAGAGAGAGAGATAGCGAGAGCAGGAACACAAGCAGGGGGAGTGGGAGAGGGCGAAGCAGGCTTCCCGCTGAGCAGGGAGCCCGATGTGGGACTCGATCCCAGGACCCTGGGATCATGACCTGAGCCAAAGGCAGATGCTTAATGACTGAGCCACCCAGGCACCCCGGTACAATCATTCTCTTTAAACTTTAGCCTGTGTATATTTTTCAGTCCCATGAAATTAAGGAGCTAACTCATTTAGCCCAAGATGGCTGTTGGTTGGAGGAAATAATATTATGGACTCATTTTTTTAGGGCCTTAATTCAGTGTTCAGGAAAGTTTGTTTGGTTTCAATAAGCACCAAGAAGCTGAAGTTACATGAACCCTCTCAGAGTCAACAGGCTCGAATTATTTATTTGAGCTCTAAAATTCTGATACCCCAACTTGTCTGTCAAAGTCGCAGAAGTTGCGTTAATGCCCAAAAGTCAGATCTGGGGCCTCTTTTTTTTTTTTTTCAAGATTTTATTTATTTATTAGAGAGAGAAAGTGTGACACAGAGCATGAGCAGAGGGGGAGGGACAGAGGGAGAGGGCGAAGCAGACTCCCCCCTGAGCAGGGAGCCTGATGTGGGACTTGATCCCAGGACCCTGGGATCATGACCTGAGCCAAAGGCAGACGCTGAACGGACTGAGCCACTCAGGCACCCCAGGTGTGGGGCCTTTTGAATTGCTTTAGAAATTTTACTCCTTTAAAAGATTTGAAAAGGAAAAGGTAGAGAAAGCCATTTAACTTGAGGAGGTAAACCAATTTGATGTTAGTGAGGACTCTAAATGTGGCAAACATAAAAAGGTAATTCAGACAAGATCCGCCCAAGTCCAACAACAAACAAATTAAAACAAAATTAAAACTATGACTTTAGGGATTTTAGAATAACTGACCTGGATGCTCAAGAAGTTAAAAAATTTCGATATTTATAAAAATAAATTTCTCCCACAAAGAAGGAAAAAAAAAACCTTATTAGTTACACCACTGATAAAAGACCTGCATGATACAAAAGTGTGCTTGACTGCCTTAGTCACTTTCCTACTCAGCCGACCTTACATTTCACATCTTATCTTTAGGAGTGTATTATGTTAAACAACCAGGTTCTTTACTGTCAGTTTTATGACTCAGAATACCTCTAACCTTCTCTTCAGGCTCATCTTAGCACTAGGTATTTATTGATGTATGTTTATTTCAGTCAAAAAAATTTTTCTCCCCCGGAATGAGGTGTTTGTGAAATAAAATTAGGTTAGGGTCCTACATCACAAGAGGAAAAGTGAGTATCTACAAAAGCTGTTTCAATTCGCATTTTACAGGAACAAAGCTGTTTGAATTTTCTCAATTTATCCAAAGCCTTTCTCTAAAGATAGCCAGTGTTCTTACCCCAATTACTCACACTTTGAGTCACAGCAACATATAAAAGAGGGCTTAGCAATTTCCTAAATACACGTAAGAGAATTATACAAGACCAAAGATTTGAGAATTCCAGTTGCCTCCAACATGTCTCTAAAGGCTTTAAATCTAATGTGACAGTCTGATCAGAAAAGGGGTCATGCAGTCCAGCAAACACGAGCGTTTCATTCTATTCGGGTCTGATGCAGTGGTATGAACGTTGCCTCAGAAAAGTTACATGAACAGTCGGAGTCACATTATAAGTTATAGGAATATACAAACCAGCGTTAGCAAACACGACAAAGAGTGAGCTAAAGGAAGGACCATCCTTGTGCTCAGTTGACCTGAATGGACCTGAGTAGAGCCCCTGGATATTAACACACAAGCCTCTTGCCATCCTTTGTACCTATTCCTTCTTACTGTGCCATGAATGAGTTTGGTGACAAAATGGACAAAATGACATGGGAGGGATACAGGGCATGTCCTTGGAGTGTCTCTCCTGGACTCACAGGGCCTTTCTCACCTTGGCTGTTTTACTGTGTGCACTGAATTGGGGCTTTTCCTCAAGGCAGAGGCTGAAGCTATTTTTTTTTTCTTTCTAATATGTATTTTTAAAAACCTGTTCCAGGTGATTGAGTAGCTTATTTTCTATATAAATTCAAATATATTACCATGCAATTATTATTTTTGAAAAATTACAGTCTCCGGACCTTCAGTGTTTGACCCGTTTTATGGAGCTTCCAGATGCTGTGTTGGGGGAGGCATTATGAATCCCATTTCATTGGCAGCTCAAATAATCTCCCAGGTTTCATAAACACTTTTTGTTTGTAAATGCCCTTCTTTTCTTTGTGGTTATAAAAGAACTCCTATTTATTTTCAGACCCACTCTTGGTGTCATTTTTGCAATTATTACTACTTGCCAAAACATTGATTTTGACTAATATATGTTAAATGAAGCCACACTGAATAAATTACTCGTGTATACCCAATGGGCTTTGCAAACCTTTGTTTTATTTTGAGTTAATTTTTGAAATGTGATGGCCTTGTCTCTGGCCAGAAAAAAATGACCAAAGAAACTTGAAAAGAGGAAGAACGTATTCTAGAATCCAGCTTGTCAGTTTTGTACTATGTCAAGCCCTTCACATTGCTCCGCTACCTTCTCTAGAAATTCATAACAGAGCCAACTGGGATGTGCAGAAGACTTTCACCTCTTTTTGGTCTAATTTTCTGCTCTTTCATGTTTTTACCAAATGGAATTTTTCTCTCTTTTTTCCTGTTTGTTAATCCCAGTGAAGTAGAAAGGTATCTAATCCAGTAAGGATTCAATGAGTCCTCTCCAGCACTGTGCTTGGAAAGATACTTTTCTTCCAACTG